TTATCTTATTTTCTTATTTGTATCTCTTTAAAGGTATATCAGCAAAAATCAAAAGAAAAAACAGTTAAAAATGAAAATCATGCAAACGATATTAGTAAAGCTGAATAAAAAATGAAATACGAAAACAAAAAATACAAGCCACCTAGAGAGATATCACTATAATATATTCTGCATATAAACAAAGTCAATATGAATAAAAGTTACACAATTATCATAATAGTGGCACTTTTTTATATAAATTAAACTTAAAATGCAAACGCCAAAGAAATGAAAAAAAGAAAACGAAAGTGAGAAAGTGACTCTTATTCACTCATTCTTTACTAAATATTAAAAAGTTGAAAAGATAAGCATAGTTCATGTTTTAGTTACTTTGAGAAGTAATATATTCTTTGCATAAAGGTATATTGCTAGAGAACCATACAAAGAGTATTTATATGATTATGGTATGATTTCAAAATCGAATTCAAAGTATTGTCTTTCACTTCCACATGCTTATATAGAATCTTTATTTCAAATAGGAATTTTCAATTCAAAGAATTGAAAGTCTTTGTAGAGAGGGTATTGATGCAATGCAACCCAACTGTTTTAATCTTTTCTACTTAATTTACTGTAGACTATAAGTCCCCAATTTTTTCAAAACATAATTTACTATAGTTAACATCACCTTACATTCAGAACATAATTGACTACAAACCAAATAACTTATGATAAATAAAACAAAGGAAACTTATAATTATAATCAGGTAAACCATCAACAACGTAATATAAAGAAACACCGCCAAAAACTCTACCATGACCAATAACAACATCAGCGAGAAACTCTATCGATTGTGAAACAACTTCATGCAACAGATTCTAGCTTTTGTTGCTATTCCTTTGAAACAGCTTCATCCATAGCAGTGAAATGATGATGTACATATACATAGTGTCCCTTCAAAATTTGCACTAATGGCACTTGATTTTTTTAATTTAAAATCAATTGAATGATTTTTGTATTGTAATTTAATATGGAGCCAAACCATCCTAGGAAATCAGAGTCATAATACCAAAGTACATGGACGTTCACTGACGTAACAATTTGGTGAAAAGGGTCATGATGATGATGACGTAGACAGATCACCTTGAATAGTATTGAGAAGTCACTAAAACGTCATCTTTCTTCCATCTTCCATCTTGTACATTTGAAAGTGGGATTTTTTAGGAGCATCTGTTAGGATAAGAAATTTAGCTGAAAAATTCGACAATAAATGGTAATGACCATGTTTGAAAATGCAAAGTAAAAAGACTCAGTCTTGATTTCGACATATTAATCATGTCGACCAAGATGATTTGACTAACTTATCACATGATCTGAAATTTAGTATAAATTTTGGAGTCAAATGGTTAGACTACCTAAAACACCCACTAAACCTGGTTTGAAAGAAACTCAGGAACAAATCCACAAAATTAGAATCACTTTCTCTTTAAAACATAATCATAATCTCAAAAAAGGTTTGTAGTGGGGTGGCATTTGAACATGGAAATGTGGTATAAAGGTGGTGAGTTCAACTCACCAATCAGGCTTTGGGACTTGATATATACTTAAGTCCAAAGATCAAGTGATCTAAAGGTATTTCAACACCATACATGATTCAACCGAGGCATCCCTCAACAAGAGCAGTTAAAGGTTATAAAGACAATTGTTTGATGACACAACAGTTAGAGGCAGTTTCAAAGACCAAAACACGTGGAAGCGCATCAGAAGACCAAAGCCCATGTAGTGGGATACGTGTCAAACACCTGAGAAGTAATTGTTATCCATAATTAATAAAGACTATTATATAAATCAAATTCATTCATGTCATCAGAGATGCAAATTTTATCATAAAACTCTATAAAACTCAAGTATACAAGTCAAAGTCAAAAAAGAGCATGTGAGAAACATGTACAAATTTGCATATCATTTATAATTCTTTAATCAAAATATTCTTCTTTTACTTTTATGGTGTTTTTTCCTTTACTTTACCTTTTTCAAATGATTTTACTTCATTGTTATTGAAGTTCTATTCAGTTTCATCGTCATTCAAATATCAACTATCTAAGCACGTACACATTTCTTCTAATTTTCTGCACAAAATAGTTCTTAGAAATTTTTCGAGTTTAATCTTTTAAGTGAACAAAACTTGTGGGTTGATTTACTGAAAATACCAGTAAACAGATATACATACCTATCTTAGACGAACATCTGGTCAGAGCAAATAATTAAAACATGGTAATTATCAGATTATATAACGAATAATATTCAGACACTCGTTTGAGGTTCTAGGGCCGCGGAACCGTAAAAACATTGTTATAAATATATAAGTAAAGGGTCACACCAAGGTACAAACTTTTCTAATTTTAAATATCTCTTATCTTCGATAGTCACTGACTTGAATGTTAGTGTATTTCTTATTTTATCCCCTCTGCAGAGGATCGAGGCTTATAGATATCTTTTAAGTCTCCCTGTTTACCATCAACCCAAACTCACTCTCTCAAGAGTCGGTCCCTATATGCCATACAAGATCAAAATTAAATATAAATATTTAAATTTATTTTTATGAAAAAACTTTTTATAATACTTTAAAAAATTAATTTAAAATATAAGTTGATTTAATATAAGAGACTAAAACAATTTACAAGATAGTTAAATTTAAATTATAATTTTTTTTTACTGTTATAGAGATATTATAAGATATTATTTACTAACTTAATGTAACTATTGGTCTGAGACTTTGCACAAATCGGTCAATCAATGATGGTTTAGAAAAATTAAATAAATTAAAAATACTTTAATAAACTTATGCAAATGCACTATTTTAAAATCCGAACCAAATCGATTGATTTAAGAATTAGAAAGGTCACCGGTCTGATATAATTGTTGGGTCAGATATGTTATTGAATTAATGAAAATCGATTAAAATTGATGAAAAAAACGATGAATCAGCGGTTTTGAAAAACTGACGTGTTAAATATATATTTTATTTTTCTCAAATAAAATGATGTCGTTTTGATAATTTTGTAAGAAAATAAAATTAAAATATAAGTAGACTTTGGTTAAACATATTTTTAATTTCATAAATTTTATAAAAATAACTTTTTAAAAACTAAATTAAACCAACTACGAAGATATCACTTTAATATACTTTCTTAAGTAGCATTTGAACAATATCCATATGAATTAAAGTTAAACAATCATCACAATACTAGCACTCTCATAAATTGAACTTGAAATACAAACGCCAAAGAATGATAAAAAAAAGAATATGAAAGTGAGAAAGTGACTCTTATTCACTCATTCTTTACTAAAAATTAAAAAGTTGAAAAGAGAAGCACAGTTCGAGTTTTAGTTACTTTGAGAAGTAATATATTCTTTGCATATAGGTATATTGTTAGAGAACCATACAAAGAGTATTTACATGATTATGGTATGATTTCAAAATCGAATTCAAAGTATTGTCTTTCACTTCCACATGCTTATATAGAATCTTTATTTCAAATAGGAACTAAATTCAATTCAAAGAATTGAAAGTCTTTTGTAGAGAGGGTATTGATGCAATGCAACCTACCGGTTTTAATCTGTATTGTTTGTGTAAATTTTTATAAAATTCTGCAAGAGAGAATATTTTTATCGATTTTGGTGGGTTTTAATCGATTTTCATTGGTTCAATAATTTATCCGGTCTAGCAATCAAATCAAACCAGTATTTTTATATTTCCGGTTCAATTGGCTGATCTGGTTTGATTTTTAAGACACTGAATTAAAATTTATTTTTATAATATGTAATTTAAATTTTTTTTATAAAAAATATAAGTCTTCTTAACTTAACCGTAATTCTTCTTACTAAATTCTGCGTCAATCACTGGATCAACTGATGATTATTTTCTCAACTTAATTTACTATACACTATAGTCCTCAAATTTTCAAAACATAATATAGTCAACATCACCTTGCATTCAATAACATTGATGATTGGTCGATTGGTTCATAAAAATATTATTTATTATTTATTTTATAATATAAAATACCACTTTTAGAATTGAACTGTTTGATTTTGGCTTCCAGTGCTCTAAACGTGTGAATGCTGTATAAAACCAGAAGCAGTTGTCAACTCTAGCATTTCTTACTACAACCACAATCACTAGAATAAACTAAAGGAAGCTTATAAAATATAATTAGGTAAACCATCAACGTAATACAAAGAAACACAGTCAAAAACTCTATCGATTGTCACATGAACCCGATCTCGATCTGAAACAGCTTCATTCATAGCAGCAAGAATATCACAATGCAAATCATTCTCTTGTCATCACTCTACTTTTACTCTTCCTTTCTGTACACTCTGTCACTCATACGAGTTTCAAATTCTTTTGAACTTTAAATCTTGAATTCAAACTTCTGATTCAAATGTTTTTGCTTCATGGAACTCATCTAACTCACCTTGCAATTTCTAAGAAATTCTTTGCAATTCCAAACATTCTGTTACGCAAATAAACCTTCCAAACAAATATCTCACCCGCATTCCTTTTCATATCATATGTAGTCTTCCGTGTCTTGAGAAAATTTCCCTGGAATCCAATTTTTTGCATGGGAATATCGCCAAGGGTTTGAAAAATTGTACAAACCTCAAGTACGTGGATTTAGGTGGAAATTCATTCAATGGTCCACTTCCTGAGTTTTCATCTTTGATTAAGTTAGAGTACTTGAATCTAAATTTAAGTGGAATTCCAGGGATATTTCCATGGAAATCATTGAAAAATCTAACAAACACTCACTTTTTTAAGCCTTGGTGATAATCCATTTGAAAAAGCTTCCTTTCTTTGGAGTCATTATGTGTTTGACTGCAAAAACTTAATCACTTTGTAGCTCAACCTTGTAAACATTCTCTGATGCTCCTTTTCCAATCATATTCTCAGCTTTGATTCCACCAATAATTTCATTCTTATTAATGTTTAACAGCATATTTGTCTTCATCTCTATTATTACGCAGAATCTGCAAAATATAAAGAGAAAATGTTTAATATATGAAAGATACTTGAGCAGAGAGATTTTAACACACTTAAAGCATAGAATTAGTTTAAAATATTTTAGTTGAATCAACAATAAAACATAAAGGAATCAGATAACGAAATAAAAGAGAAAGATTCTACTAAATTTATTAAGAAATCATCCATCCCGATTTTTTAATGTTAAATATCTTAGTTTATTAACAACAATAACTCTAAAAGTAACCACAAACCTTAGTAACAGAAAAAAGAAACTGTTACACACCTTTGTTAACCAAATAGCAATAACAAACTGAGAATGAAATTATTGGTGGAATCAAAGCTGAGAATATGATTGGAACAAGATCGTCAGGGAATGTTTACAAGGTTGAGCTACAAACTGTTGAAGTTTTTGCAGTCAAACACTAATGACTCCAAAGGAAAGGAAGGTGTTTCAAATTGATTATCACCAAGGCTTAAAAAAGCGAGTGATGTTAGATTTTTCAGTGATTTCCATGGAAGTTTCCATGATGTTCCACTAAAAGTTAGATTCAAGTACTCTAACTTATTCAAAGATGAAAACTCAGGAACTAGACCGTTGAATGAATTTGCACCTAAATCCATGTATTTTAGGTGGGTACAATTTTTAAAATCCTTAGAGATATTTTCATGCAAAAAATGGGAGTCTAGAGAGATTTTCTCAAGATATTGAAGACTACAAATGATGTCAAAAGGAACAATGCTGGAGAGATATTTGTTTGGGAGGCTAATTTGTGTAACATAATGTTTGGAATTGCAAAGAATTCCGTGGAAGTTACAGGATGAATTTGAAGAGTTCCAAGAAGTAAAGGCATTTGAATGAAAAGTTTGAATTGAAGATTTGAAGTTCAAAAGAATTTGAAGCTAGTATGAGTGACAGAGTGTACCGAGGAAGAGTAAAAACATAACGGTGACAAGATTTGCATTGTGATTCATGGAACTCATACAGAAGGCCATGGAACTCATACAGTCATACAGCTTCAACTAGTTTGTTTGATTTTGCTAGAGGTGAAGCCGAGGAATGGCAACAAAAGCTATGTATGAAATTGTTTCACATCGATAGAGTTTCCTGCTGATGTTGTTGTTGGTGATGGTATATAGAGTTTTAGAGGGTGATGATTTAGCTGATTATAGTTGAAAGAGAAGACATGAGTGTGTACTTATTCCAAACATGCGTTTCATGATCTCCTTTTATAGACTTGAGTGTGTATTGTTCCAAACATGCACACATGCAGAGCAATACCCTGGGTTGCATTGCATCAATACCCTATGCACAAAGACTTTCGATTCTTTGAAATGAATTAAGTTCCTATTTGAGATAAACATATGGAAGTGAAAGACAATACTTTGAATTCAGTTTTGGAATCATACTATAACCATGTAAATGCTCTTTGGATGGTTCTCTAACAATATACCTATATGCAAAGAATATATTACTTCTCAAAGTAACTAAAATTTGAACTATGCTTCTCTTCTTAACTTTTTAATTTTTAGTAAACAATGAGTGAATGACATCTTCTTCTCATTAGAGTCATTCTTTTCATATTCTTTTTTTTAACCATTCTTTAGCGTTTGTAGTTTAATTTATGTGAGTGCTAGTATTGTGATGGTTGTTTAACTTTAATTCACATTGACATTGTTCAAATGCTACTTAGAAAAGAGAATATATTAAAGTGATATCTTTATAGTTGGTTCAATTAAGTTTTAAAAAATTTTATTTTTGAAATTTTATAAAATTGAAAACATCTTTGAACAAAATCTTCTTATATTTTAATTTTATTTTCTTTAAAAAATTATTAAAACGACGTTGTTTTATCTAAGTAAAATAAAGTATGCATTTAATTCGTCGGTTTTCTAAAATCGTTCATTCATCGATTTTTATCAATTTTGACTGATTTCCACTAATTCAATAACATACATGATCCAACAATCATATCAGACTCGTGACCCTTTCAATTTCCAATACAATTTGTTTAGTTAGATTTTTAAAACAATGTATTTGCATAAGTTTGTAAAAGTATTTTTTTTCTATTTTTTTTCTAAACCATCATTGATTGAACAATTTGTGCAAAGTCTCATACACTACAAGAAATATACTCCCCAGCGACGTGTTTTAGTGACGTGATTATCATGTCACTAAAATTTAGTAGTTGCGACGCGATAATCACGTCATTAAATTATTTTATAATTTAAATAATAAAAGTAAGGCATGGTCTGCGTCAGTGATAAATGCAAATTGTAGTTATTTTTGTACATACTTTTTGTTGTACTTATCGACTTTTTATTGTTAATATCGTTGAATAAACCCGACTTTTATATAAATACATTTAGTTTGTGTTTATTTGTATTTCTGTGTACATAGGGCATCGTTTGATATTTTTCCATTCATTTTGTAGGTATTGATGTGTATTTGGAGCATGAGCAATAAAGTGTCAAAGACACAGCTTCAAACGCGCGATTTTGAGCAACTCGTCAACGAATAAGGCTCAAAAATAAAATAATAATAAATCATCTATTTGGTTGATATTTTTCATTGTTAGAAGGAGTATTGAATAAGCTTTCTAATGCTTCGAACCAGGTGCAAATCGGAGTTACGGTTCAGAAGTTATGGGTGAAATAGTGCAGAATATTGTGCTGGTTTTTCATCTTGGTGTCATCTTTCGCCGGGCGAAAATTTTGATCGTCGGGCGACGCTTTTTGATCGTCGGGCGATCCTGGACAGTCAAAAATGCATATTTAGGTGTAAAAACATATTTTTTTGGGTATGGTTTTGGGTATTTTTGACCCCAACTCCATCAACCTTCATTTTTGGATAGGATTAACTTAGAAAATAACATTGAAGCTTGCATACGGATGATATGGGGTGGATTTCTCATCAATCAGCGATGACAAACCGGGAGATTTGTGGTTCATTTCTCTTCCTCTTTGTATATTCTTTATGTGTTGAGTTTGTACATGTATTGACTCTGAACTTATGTATATTTGTCGCCCATGGCGTTATCTTAAACTTGCTTTACAAATCTTTGTCGATTATTATCTTAGATTTTTCCTCTGTCCTAGGGATTTGAGTTGTTATAGATATATACTGCTTAGATTCTTATCTAGGATGATTATCTGTTAGTTTCTGAACTCTAGAGATAGATTTAGAGATGACATCTACTTGGATATCAGAGCATAATGCCTCTGTGTTGGTTGTGATGTGCTGAGAGATCGTCAGTGCGAGTAATACAATTGTCTTTTGTGTTGTTAAGGAAGTAGAGATATCACTTCTGAGATGATAAATTCTATATCTAAATTTGGGTTAGAAATGACTTAGGTTGTGAGTGATACGTGGTGACATTGATGAGTATTGTTAGCCTGAATGTAACTGGTCGATAGATTTAAGTCTGTGATGAGTAGATTATATGCAGGCTTGATAAGTTCTTCCTTAGTTCTTACTTTTGTTTACATTTATTCTGTTGATAATATGTTCTTTACAAACCCATTTATCCCCAAACTCATTAACGAGATATTTGTCAAACGACAATTTAATAACCAATCTTTGTGGACACGATAAATTCTCAGATATATTTATATGACCGTTTTTATTTTGATATATAAAACAGTTTTTACTATATAATTTTTATCATATAATTTTTAATAAAAACAATTTTGATTTATATATTTTATTTTTATTGTCAAAATAGAATATAATAGTCAAAACAAAATATATATTTATGTTAATAAAAAAAATTATATTTTAATAAAAAACATTAACATGAATATAATAGTTAGGTATAAAAATATTATTAATTTTTGGAAAAAATATAATTATAAATTAAATATAATAAAAAACGAAATATATTATATATTTTTTAAAAATAGACTAATTCATTTTTTAAACAAATTATATATTAAAAGTAGAATATTCTATATGTTCATTTAAAATAAAATATAATTAATATTTTATATTTCTTAAAAGAATAATATCTTTGTTAAAAAAAGTATGGTTAATATATATTCAATATGTTTATTAAATTTATGGTAAATAATATATATATATATATATATATATATATATATATATATATATATATATATATATATATATATATATATATATATATATATATATATATATATATATATATATATATATATATATATTCAAAATAGTTATAAAATTTAATTATAGTTACTATAGTTAAATGTTTATTTATAGTTAATAATAAGCCAATGATTGTATAAATGCACAGTATAGAATATTATCGGTATGGTCGTAGTTGGATGTACGATAAATTATATTCAGGAAGACGTACACTTAAACCCCATTTTATAGAAGGAGTTAATGAGTTTATCACATAGGCGTTTGCTCAGGAATGTTGTCGAAGCGAAGGAGGAGTTATGTGTCCCTGTCTTAAATGTGAATGTAGACCAATAATTAGTGACCCGGAAGAAGTAGCACGTCATTTGCATAGAAGGGGTTTCATTGAAAACTGGTTTGGACGTATAATGGTGAATACTTGCCGAGTAACATACCAGAGACTAGTAACATGCATGCTTCAAGTAGTCGACCGCCTATGGAATATGAGGAAAACTTTAATCTGATCGGTGAGATAGTTGAGGATGCTTTTGGTGTGAACGTGACATATGTCAACCTGAAGATTTTGACGGGGAAGAGTTGCCGAATGAGGAAGCACAGAGATTTTATCACTTGTTTAATGAGATGAATACACCATTATTCGAGGGTTCATCAAACTCAAAGTGTTATCAATGTGTGTGAGATTATTGGCCGCCAAGTCAAATTAGAATGTTCCTGATCAGTGTTTGGAACATTTCGTAAAAATGATGTTGGATTTCACCACAACAAAAGACAACTTACCTATAAATTTTTATGATCACTAGTGCAGAAATGACTTTTTACATCGGGTGAAACTGACTTTTTACATCGGTTCTGGGTCCGATGTAAAGTCAGGCGATATAGTAAATCAGGGACTTTTTACATCGGTTCTGGGACCGATGTAAAAAGTCTCTTTTTTACATCGGTTATAATATAAGAACCGATGTAATAAACTGTTATTATGCACATTTTTAAAAAAATTGATCCAGTTTTTTACATCGGTTGTAAGTAATACCCGATGTAAAAAGTCTCTTTTTTACATCGGTTATAATATATGAACCGATGTAAGAAACAGTTATTATGCACATTTTTTTAAAAAATTGATCTAGTTTTTTACATCGGTTGGAAGTAATACCCGATGTAAAAAGTCCCCAGTGATGCAACTTTTTACATCGGTTATTATCCCCAACCGATGTAAAAAGTCCCTTTTTGAAAGTTTTTACATCAGTTTTTACTAATAACCGATGTAAAATGTATGAAATTTTTTTGGAATAGATTATTTATTTTCTGGATGTTTCCCTGTACAAATATAATTTGTACCCATTTTTTCATATTTTTCTAATATCACAGAGACTATATTTATGTCGCTATATAGATTTCATAGCTTTCCAACATCACATATATCACATCTAGGTCGATGTTTTCATATTTTTCACAACAAACTTACAAATTGAACAATTGTATTGCAAACTTGTATTGTATTACAACAAACAAACTTACAATTACAAATTCTTCACAAAATATACAACAATATTCAACTATTTATAAGTCTTTTTTCAAAACTTACAATTATATATTATTCACAAAATATACAAAAATATTCAACTATTTATAAGTTTCCAAACTTAAATTACCAATATAAAATCTTCGGTAGACAACACCAAAATCACATTGCCTGACAATAAATAATAACAATTAACATCAGCAAAAAATCAAGAAACTCAAATGTGCAAAAACCATATGTATTGTGCAAAAACCACAACTTATACAATTCTATAAAACTCACCAAGATAAACTTAATTTGCATAACTCAAAGAAACATTTTGCCCAACGAAGTCGCAAATCATACAAATCATCTTGTGTTAATTCTGTTGGGTCATCAAATACCTATAATACATAAATATAACAATATAGAGTTAATTTTAAAAAATTCATATTAAGTCGAAAAATAAAAAGTAAATAACAAAGTAAAGTTATTTTTAGTACCTGCATCCAATTCTCGGTTATATTAGCAGAGACAATATCCAACATATTTTTCATCACATAGTATCCATAATCATTAGAGTTATGTTGTTGCCTTGTCTACAATTGAATGACATAATTAGTGAATACTTATCATAAATTTAACTATATAATTACAATTTACATCACACTTACATTGGGATGAAGCCATGTAGCCTTTTTTATATTTCCATTTGCCATTTGATGAATCTCAAAAGAACTAATACAGAAAGATAAACATCACATAGCTAAATTTACTCGCCAATGAAAAATGACATAACATAATCTGAAGGACATGCCCAGAGAATAAACTCGACAAATATTAGTACCACAATTTAATTTACATCTAAAAATGATATATATGTTAGATGAAAGTGTGAACATGATCTGGTATACCTCGGATTGTAGAAAATCGTGAAAGGACTTTGGTTAGCGGCAGCATGAGCTGCAGCAGCAAGGATGCCAATGTGCATGCTATCAGCAGAAAGTACTGATGATGGCAATGTTGTTGTCTGTTGACGATTAGCACGCCTTACACCAACTCGCAATTGTGACTTCTCATCCCTTGAAACAATTGAAACATCACATTTAGTACAGAGTCATGTCATGTTGAAGCAACTCGACAAAAATGAAGCCAACAACAAAACTTACCTGATAAAAAGAACTGAATCGCCCGCTCTAAGCCTTTTTGAGTCGACAAACAAACTCCATCCTGTTGTGAGAAGGTGTCTCTTCGGCTGACCTACATGAACAATGTAGGGAAAAAAACGTAAGGATCTAAACCGGCCCGGCTCTTTTAAGAGTAAATGCTTCAAGGTTAAGATAATGAAACAAAGTAAAAAAGAATGAACGTAACTATATGTGCAAGAGTCAAGGAATCGTGTACGACTGTGACACATATCAGACACCAGACACATTTAATATAAAGTGACAGCGAAAGATGCCAAGTAAAAGTAGAAAACATCCTCACCTCGGTATATATGTCGAAACGTCCATGTATTATCATGCAAATCTCTAACAACAAGTTCTTGAGTTGGAGGTTGAATTGTGTAATCCTAAAACCAAAACACATTAATCAAATAACGATTCTTGTAGAGTAAAAAAAAAGGTTTGCAAATTCAACCAAACTAGTCCTATGTAGCCTTATGAGTGGAGGAAACAGCTTCTCAGCAGCTCTGCGCGGAACCGAAAAGCCACCATGTGTGCTAGTATCACTAGCAGTCAAAGTTTTGCAGAAAAACTCGGTTGGATGTTTACTTTGGCTCAATCCAAACTCAGATACAGGAAACACTTCTTTATCCTAACAAAAAAAAAACAATACAACACAACATAATCAATCTTAAACACTAACAATAACATTTAGATGTATAATAATAACAAAATTCTAGAACTAAGATTTCTTATAACTTACAGAATTCAATGGTTGAAGAGTCATTTGAGCATAGATTTCATCCGTTTCCTTATCAGCCTATCATCATAATCATAACAAAAAAATTAAAGATTAAAACTTTGAAAATGAAATAAGTGATCAAGGAAGAAAAGGTGGTAAAAAAAATTACTGACATGTAGTGTGACATTTTGAACTTGACACAACAACTGAGAAGGAAGATTAGGATAGTTTGGAATCTGTGACGTTGCTGTTCTTCTAGTAGAAGCTGCAACCTAAACACAAACAAAAAAGAAACAAATCTTAAAGGGTTTTTAAATATACAAAATCAAGAAAGAAAAGAAAAAAAGAACTTTTAAAAGAGACTACTTCACCTGTTCACTATGTCCTTGAGGGAAGTAATAAACAAGACCTCCCACATGAGGTAAAGTCACAAGAGGACCAGCACAAGCATGCCATAACTCAGAATTCAAACTCTTTCTCACCCCTAAAAAACATTAAACCATTAAAAATAAAAAAGTGATTATAAATGAAGCTATTAAAGAGAACTAAACAATTAACAAACATCAACATACAAACACACCACAATGTTCTTGCATTTCCTTAAGCAATTTAATCTCAGCAACAAGTCCTCCTCCAACACCAACACACCAACACCACAATGACTAAGTAGGTTTAATAAGGAATGGTTAATAGATTCCTGTGATATAAAAACAGCTTATCGTGAAGGTATTCACACAATCAACTTCTTATTGGATAAACATTCTAGTGCAGCATTAGTTTCTAAGGGTCTACTATGTATCAGGAAAAATAAACTAAAGGAAAAACGTAGGGTGTCTCTTCTATTAGCACCATAGCAATGGTACCAAATTGGTGAATAACCAACAAAGATGGTAATGATAATCAATTAATTAATTATATATAATAAACATACTAGAAATTAGACACTACTCAAATTATAATGCTTGTTACAATAGTAACTACTACTAATCTACTACAGCTGATCACATGTCAGTGTTTATAAACACAGATTTGACCTAATACTCTTAGTTAGGGTTTAGATACAACCATGTACTACTAAACCAAGTCGAAAAACTTACTGGTATAAAATTGAAGCTTTTTATCGAACTTGCGATCCGACTTTGAATCCGATGAATCTGACCTGCACACATGAGAAAATAACTCAATTATTTTCAACTTTAACATCATCTAAACCAATTTACACAAATATGATGCATAGGAAAATTGTATCCAACTAAAATCACATAAGCTACTTTCAATGAGAAAGAAAAGTTTAATATATTGCAAAGTAGATCTCACGCTTTTGTTTTATACCTATGCCATATGTGTTTTGCTTCTTAGTTGAAATGAGTTCAAACAATGATTTTGACAGCAGCACAGTTCAATAACCAATTTATCACAATCAAATCAAAGTTCACAGAAATTATCCTAATGTATTGCTTCTTTGCAAAGCGCTTGGTTCTGGTTCGGTCCAACAGTAAGTGCAGTAGAAGGACAAGGCCTGATCCAGATGACAGGGGGCTTTCCCTCAAGAAAAAGTTATAGTTTACATATGTAGAGTGCGTGGAATGATTTCTTGTTTTTGTTGTTGCTGCATCAGTTAACTCACGAAGTTCTAGACTTTCGCTCTCTATTATTTTGAAATGCATGGCTTGTTGTGAAACATGTGTCTTCAATATATCCTAATGCACACACACGTTCTGGGAGTTAACAAGTGAGGCATTTGGTTCTTGTCTAACAAACTCCCCATTTTCAGTCTGGGAGTTAACTAAGTTAAGTTCTTTTATTTATTTATTTTCATTCATAATAATACATGTTAAAAACCACTATATTCTAACTAGTGAAATTCACGTGGATTAACAAAATTATGCATCTCCTATATAAATTTCAATTAAAAGAAAACAGTTTGTCAGCTAACATAAAACGTGCATCCCCATAAATGAATACAAACGAATACAAACGATAAACAGAATTACACATCAACAACATAATACTCTTTATATACCAAAGACACATATTTTGTATTGAATTGAAAATGGATTGAAAATGGTTCCTCTAGAATAGAATTGATTCTATTTGAAACTACAATCTATAGCTTGAGTTTAAACGCGATTTTTACATCGAAATTATTTGTTGAACTCACTTTTACATAAAAGTATCAAAACATAAATCAATTCTACAAAATCTAACTCACTCACACAAACACACACTACATGTAAATTACTGTATGGCATAAAAACTATAAACTATACAGAAAGCTTATGAAAAAAAAGCAGAAAAGAGCTTATGAACAACCACAGATTCTTCTATAAGCACTATATAATGCAACACCCTAGAAGCTGTTGTAAAACCCTAGTATGATAGAAGTAGTGAATCCTGAGAAAGAGAAAGTACCCAAAAGAATTTGGACATGTAGTGATCTGTGAAGAAGCGGTTAATGTAACCAGCTTCGGAGCCTAAAAGAAGAAGGTCAGCAACCATCATGACCTTTAGGGAATCAACTTCCGCAACGGGATTATTGCAAACGGGCGTTGAGATTCTGTCTTCTAAGGAAAGAAGAAAAGAGATTCCGAGAAAAGATAAAGCTCGTAAACCAATCATTGTTCGATTTGATCCAAAATTTCATGATTCTTCGTGCAGTCGGCGGCGGATCTTCGAGGAGACGGCGGATCTGTGAGGAGACGGCAGAGGGAGGATACGGGCGGAGGTGAGACGGGCGGAGACGGCGTAGGCGAGACGGACGGAACGGCGTAGGCGAGACTGACGAAGTAGCGGCAAGGGTGCGTTCGTGGGACGGAGTAGTTGAACAGTGACGAAATAATTCGCATTCAGGGGTTATTTCAACATTATATATATTAGTTTTACATCGGTGCAAGCATTGGCCCGATGTAAGGGTTCGAACGCTTATGTTTTTTACATCGGTGAAAGCAGTGGCCCGATATAAGGGTTCGTAGGCTTGAGCTTTTTTACATCGCTTTAACGAATGGCTCGATGTAAGGTTTTTGATGTTTTTTACATCGGTGGAATAAATGGCCCGATGTAAGGGTTAGCCTATTTTTTATATTACCAATCTGCCATGGACTTTTTTACATCGGTGGATTGCAGGAACCGATGTAATATCTGGCCAGTCTTTTATTTACAATTCTGCCACCTGGTTTGTTATTTACAAAACTGCCACCGTGTTTTTTTCATGTAACCTTTTACATCGGTGGATTAAATGGCCCGATGTAATAGATGGCGAAAAATAATTTTTTTTCATATTGTTTATATCATTGCAAATAAATACTTGATGTAAAATGTTTTTAATTTTATTTTTTACATCGTATATTTTTATACCTGATGTAAAAACCTTTTCTCAAATGTCATTTTTTTAGTAGTGGATGCAAAGAAGTGGGTGTCGAAGTTGGGTTTAAAAGTAAGAAAGATTGATTATTGCATTAGTGGTTGCATGTTTTTTTATGGAAATAATTTTGGTACTCAAGATGGATTGTTGGAGGAATGCACGTTTTGTAAGAGTCCAAGATATCAAGTTCGCAGTAGAGCTATTAACAGCAAGCAAAAGTGTGTAGCAGTAAAGTCCATGTTTTATCTTCCGATAATACCAAGATTAAAAAGAATGTTTTCTACAATGCACAATGCAAGTCAAATGACATGGCATCATACAAACCAAACAAGTTCAGGAACTATGTGACATCCATCTGATGGCGAGGCATGGAAGCACTTTGATCGGACAAATCCTAATTTTTTCGCAAAACCTAGAAATGTTAGGCTTGGATTATGCTCTGATGGTTTTTCTCCATATGTGAAAGCGTTGGGAAGTGTGTATTCTTGTTTTCAAGTTATTGTTACTCCTTGCAACCTCCCTCCTGAGATTTGTATGACAAAACCATACATGTTTTTAACGTGCGTCATTCCAGGGTCGTCCAGTCCAAAAGTTGGAATCGATGTGTACTTATAACCTTTAATTGATGATTTGAAGAGGTTGTGGATTGGAGAATGGACTTATGATATATCCTGTAAATAAAACTTTACTTTGCGAGCAGCCTTGATGTGGACTATTAATGACTTTCCAGCATATGGCATGTTGTCTGGTTGGGGTACGCATGGAAGAATGGGTTGTTCGCATTGCATGGTATACACCAAAGCATTTACGTTGGATAAAGGGGGAAAAAGCTCGTGGTTTGACTTTCACCGCAGATTCCTACCAAAAAATCATTCCTATAGAAGAAACAAGACAGATTTTAAAAAAGACGAACGAGTATCAGATCTGCCTCCGCCTTGTCACCAGGTGAGATATGGAACCAAGTTTGTGAACTACCAAAATTTACAAATATTGGCAAAGCATGTAGAATTTAAGGATATGGAGTCACACACAATTGGACAAAAAGAAGTATATTTTCGGACCTCCTGTATTGGAAAGATAATTTGTTGTTCCATAATCTTGATGTTATGCATATTGAGGAAAAAAAATTTGATAATGTATTTAACATAGTGATAGATGTTAAAGATAAAACAAAAGATAATGAGAAGGCTAGACATGACATAAAAATTTGGTGTAACTGGAAAGAGTTGGAGTTGAAGCCTCAACAGAATGGAAAATTATTAAAACCAAGGCTTGTTTTAGTCTTACTTCCCAAGAAGCTAAAGCAGTTTGTCGATGGTTAAAATATTTGAGAATGCCAGATAGGTATTCTTCAAATTTAGCAAGGTATGTCGACGCTAACACTAGGAAGTTGCATGGTATGGAAAGTCATGATTGCCACGTTTTTATGGAACAATTGCTACCAACTGCATTTGGTTCACTACCCAAACATGTGCTTAATCCACTAACTGAAATTAGTCAATTTTTTAGAGATATTTGTGCGTCCACTTTAAGAGTGGATGACATCATTAAGTTGGACCGAAAAATTCCACTCATTCTCTGTAAGTTGGAACAAGTATTTCTGCCTGATTTTTTTGACTCCATGGAACATCTACTTGTACATCTTGCATATGAAGCTTATCTTGGTGGACCTATTCAATATAGGTGGATGTATTCGTTTGGAAGTTTCATGGGTGATTCAAAGCAATCAATGAAAAATAAAGCTAGAGTTGAAGGATCTATATGTGCACATTACTTGCATCGGGAAACATCACATTTTTGCAGTCATTATTTCAACCACTTGATGTTAACTCCTAGAATCATACGAAATCCTATAAATGTCAATGAGAGAAGTCAATTCACCTTATCAGTCTTCGCACGTCCAGGTCGTCCCTCTGGAAAGAAGGGTATGCACTGTTTGACCTAAAAAGAAATGCAATCCACACATGTCCATGTCTTGAACAATTGCATTGAAGTTAAACCATATCTTGAGTAAGTATACCCCAACTGTTTAATTTTCTTTGCAGTGTTAATATAAAACTTATTATCTTGAAACTTATAGTGTGTTTCTTTTTAGGGAATTTAACATCGCCTATTTTTATAGTATCAGTGTACAATCAACATTCGGTGTCATTCATGCTCAATTTCCAGCATGGTTTAAGGAGAGATTGTCTAGCATTGTTGCATCGACTCCAGAAATACTCCACTTGAGAATCT